AACCGTCTATACCGCTTTTGATTTTTTGAAGCTCTTTGCCAAAGCAATCAATGGGAGAAGAATTTCGCGCTCTTACCGGCAAAGGAACCCCTTCCAGCTGTACACTGACATTGACTGAGAAGGTTGGGATATTTTCATAATTTCCATTCACTCCTTTCTGTTTCTATCTCTTACGAATCTGGCTATGGTCAGCATGTTTCTAGGTTGTATCTCCTCTTCACTCTCCAAAGGAAGTGGATGTTGAAGAAAACGGCGACAACAAGACAAAATGCAGTTTATCTACAATTCCGAGGCCTTCTTTGAGAGGTCAGTCAATATGCCGCCACCCTTGTTTATGTATAGAATTTCCTAACTTTCGATATTCTGATGCCCACATAATCCAAACAGGACTTAGTTTTATTGGCACTGGTTTGCATGCTTCTCAATTTGAATTTCCGTTTTCTATGCTTATGGTTGTGTAAGCGATGCTTTTAGCTTTGGTTAGAGGCTAATTTCAAGCACTCTGTGATCTTCTTTGGAATACTAGTGTTATTGAATATTGTAGTCTGCGGACAATTCAGACTGACGATAAATGCATATACCATTAGACCCTGCAGCAGGCGAATTGTTGTTTGAACAATGCCGTAGGTGTTAGGTTCTTACAAGGGAAGCTACCTAACTTAGCTCGCGCTTTCGTAATAAGACACACTCATTTGGAATCAGTTTTAAACGCTGATGCCAAATATGCTGTTTCCAGCTGCCATGCATCATTCGGAACGGAGTTAGGAGGACCTCCTCCCCTATGGCTCTTTTACTTGAAGGTCGTGTGGTAAAGTGCCAAGTGTCTCGCTTCATACTCTGGTGGTCCCGAGTTCGCGTCCTCTCTGACGTTTTTTGTTCTGCAAAGGCAGTCCACAAACCCATACATGATCCGCAAGTGATTTTATTGTGTCTGCGTACTCTTTGGTAAGGGCGTTATCATAAATCGAAGATGTTCTCTCCCAGCTGGTCGTTGCTTCTACAAAGGTCGTCGGCTCCTGAGACATAAAAAGGAAGCCGACAAGAAAGAAGCGGAAAATTGGTAGGTTCACTACATTCTGCGTGAAGCTATCACAGACAGTATAAGCATAGGATTTGAAGGAGGTGAAGAGATGGAGGAAGATGAAGAAGAACCGGTACTGCCTGGCGGCATATAGTCGGGGCAGCAGAAGTCAACAATCTAATGCTTTTATGTTCAAACTTCCACTCCCCTACCTGGATCTACTGTTAAGCTGACTAATAAACACTCTTGAGGACTTGCAAAACAACAAACAACCGACTCGAACCTAAACCAGCAGAGTATGAAGCGAGACAC